AGAGAGCGCGGGGTACGGCGAGAGAGGAGCGCGCGGTGTGACGAGAGAGGAGCGTGCGGTGTGACGAGAGAGGAGCGCGCGGTGTGACGAGAGAGGAGCGTGCGGTGTGACGAGAGAGGAGCGCGCGGTGTGACGAGAGAGGAGCGTGCGGTGTGACGAGAGAGGAGCGTGCGGCGTGACGAGAGAGGAGCTCGCGGCGCGATGCGAGCGAGCGGCGCGGCAAGACGAGAGAGGAGCGCGCGGTGTGACGAGAGAGGAGCGTGCGGTGTGACGAGAGAGGAGCTCGCGGTGTGACGAGAGAGGAGCGTGCGGTGTGACGAGAGAGGAGCTCGCGGTGTGACGAGAGAGGAGCGTGCGGTGTGACGAGAGAGTGCGCGGCGTGACGAGAGGAGCGATACAATATTCATGTTGATAAAACAGCCAAGTTTTTTATAGTAACGTTTTCAGTAGTAATAGTAGTAGTAGTTTTCAGTAGTAGCAGGTTTGTAGTATAAAATTAAGAAACCTCGCATAAAATAAATAAATCGCAAAAGGAAACAAACTGGATGGAAACCGCTTACTTGACGCTAGATCTCCGGCTGAAGCTGCCCCCGTCTGCCACCTGGTGACTAGTCAGCGAATCATTCATCTGCTGCTCAACCATGCTGACATATCGGATGTTGAACGTCTGTGAACCATCACACAGTCACACGTGAACGTAAGTTGTTAAAATGCTGGTACGCGACACGTTTCACGTAGATGGCGCATGCAGTAGAAGTCCAAAAATCCAGACTGCTCGGGGATTGGGTCGGTCCGGTTTTTCAGATTTTCCGGATTCTCGGGCAGTGTACTTTTCAAATTTACTTCACCACCACCACGACTCCCTTTCCCATACCACCATACCATCCCCCCACCCCATTCCTCCCCCACTCTTCTCCACATCACCCCAGCTCACCTTGTTCCACTTGGTCAGCTCCCGGGAGACGAAGTTCGAGTTGGTGAGGTACTTGTAACCGGACAGTGTTGAGAGGAAGCGAACCATGAGCATCGAGCCGCGGTTACCCAGGTGCAGCACCGACGGTCGCATGAACACCAGCGCGCTAAGGTTCGCCTACAGAACAACGTCACGCATGTACGTGTGTGCACGTGCGTGCGTGCGTGCATGCACGTATGTACGTGTACGTGCGCACACACACACGCACGCATGCACGCATTCATCAAAATACGTTCATGGTGTTGAGTGAGCAAAGCAGATCCTCAAACCGACAGTTAAACCTGACAACTCAAGAGTCAAACTAAGAAAATGATCTATGATAGATGCTCTATAGATCAGGGCCCTCGCTACCCACTCGCCAATTCGCCAATGGCGAACAAATTAGTAATCTGGCGATTGAAAGTCTTATTTGGCGAAAAAAGTGACGAACGTAATTTTCCCGTAATAAACATGACCCAGCAAACATCGATCCTATTTGATCGTCGAAACAGCAACGTTTCTTTTTGCGTGCCGGCACACCCCTGTGTCATTCCCAATTGCAGCTTTTTCCTCGATTCCGGGAAAGTTTTGCTGTCGCTCCCTCATACCAGCGCGGTGCTCACCCATACATATACAGCAATAACCACGCCCACGCGACTGTAACAATCAGTGCATTCGGTCCGTGGCTGTGCACATCGTGGCTCGTGCTTGCTGGCTGGGGCGGCATTGATTGAAGTACGGGGGAGGGGGGGCGCTCAAGAGCGTATAAAGAAGGTATATAAGATATACTCTACTACTTTTGTAACTTCGGGATGCTATTGAGCCAGAAAAATTAGCTGCTCATCAAAGCTGACTATATTCCTCAGTTAGTACTTATCAGTTTTACTACTTTTTACAGTACCTCACACACAGTACACACACCTACACGCATGCGCACGCACGCACGCGCGCGCACACACACACACGTGCACGCAGACGCGTAGTAAAAATCATTTGACTTTTGCCAGCGCCGTTGCCGTGCCGTGCCGTGTGTGGAGACAGGCCTTTTTTAAACAACAGGGTTTCTTCTGAGGGAAAATTAGACTCTGCAGGCAGACGCGGGGGAGCTAGAGAGGTAGAGGGGGATCTGGGGGTCTCCCCCAGCAAAATTTAAAACATTTGAATGTCTGAGACTGCATTTGATGCACCCCGAAAATAAAATTTCACCCTTTAGTTTAAATCTTACTCTGTTAGCAGACCTACTAAGTCTAACGCTGCGTATTTCGCGGGAGACTCACGCATCTGGACCCATTCTCCCGCGCTCCCGCATGGCCTACCCATTCTCACGCATTCACGCCAAAGAAAAGAAAACGAAAAAAGCAGCCCGCGACACCCCTTTGAAATACACCCACCATCTAAATTTGGTTAGTATAATAGTAACTCCAAGCCACGAGCACCTGTTCTGCACTTGAACCAACACCATAAAGCGGACAGTAATTAACCTACACACTTCACTTTGACTTCAATAAATCACCCATGCTGCCATGCATGCACCGATGCATGTAATAAACCGTTTATAGCCCAACTTCCCTCCCTCGCTTGCATCTAGCATGAATGCATGCTATCATACAACGCAACGGCTTGTAATCAACTGCCGAAGTATAGTATTAGCAAGATTAGTCCTTACGGCTACCAGGAAAATGCAAATGCGGAACTTCAACGACAACATGTGGAGGAACAGTATTGATTAGAACAACCTTGAAGCTAAAAAAGATGTTGGGTTCTATGGGGGTAAAGCCCGGCGCACACGTGGCGATTTTTATCAACAGTACTGGCAATTTTGTTGCCAGCAACAAAATCGCTGAGAAATCGCCACGTGTGCGCTGCACGGCGATGGCGATTTTGACGCCAGAAACTCGTCGCTGGAATATCAAACACGTTTGATATTTGTTGCCAAGTCGCTGAACAATCGATACGTGTGCACTGCACAAGTGACGGATTCAGGCAACAGTTTTTGGATTAACCAATCAAATGCATGATTTGAAGCACTTGATCAAATATGGCAGCGCCCACGTTCGTTTTCCACATGCTAAACGTTCGTTTGGTGCAATGGATTCCCGCATCACTGTGTTCTTCTTGCTTATCCTTCCCCCTACCAGTGTCAGAATTGCATTGAAATGTTCTTTTTTCATTCTAAAATAACGCTGGTACGTCACTGAATCTTCAAGCTCCAGTTCTCTTACTAAATTATTAAATACACCACGCGAATCACGTCGCAGCACCCACGTACGTGCCCATGTACGTCTCTCTCTCGCTGCTGTCTGTCGACGACGCCGACGCATAATTATTAAATATATTCCAATAACTTGAAGAACAGCTATCGTGGTGTTAATGGGCGCTTCAATTTTGAACAGGTCCCGTACAGTACGTTTATACAGTGGTATGCAGGGCCCTAGCTAGGATTTTTTTTCCTGTAGCCAAACAATTAGCCAGAATCAATTTTCATTAGCCAATTTGGATTCCTGTTAGCCACATCTGTAGCCTAACATTTTCTGAACACAAAAAGGCGATAAATAATTTTTCTTTTCTTTATTTTTTCACAAACTTTTATATGCATGAAGTACAAAACTACACTTATTTAATGCAAACAAACTATGATTCACCACCTGTCGAGGACTGAGACACTAACACTATGATTCACCACCATGACTCTGACTGACTGACAGAGACATTCAAATTGTCTGAATTTTTTCCTTTACTGCTGGCAGTAAAATTCTCCTATTTTTTTGGCGCACCACTGGACATAGCACTTTTCAAAGTCAAAAATCTCTTCTTCTGGGCCTTCAATTTTGATGGTTAGAATGTCACAAACACTTTCTGTTTTCAGGTTATTTCTCAGAGCTGTTTTAACCAAATTATGTCTGCTAAAACCCCTCTCCACATCAACTGTTGTGGATGGTAGAGTCACAAACATCTACTTTTTACAGTACCTGACGCACAATACACACGCATGCACGCATGCACGCGCGCAGTACAGTATAGACAGTACTATACACACACACTATAGTTATTTACAGTAATACTAATAGACTAATAGTTTACAGAAGAGTTTTCACAGCACATGCTTATACAATATCAGTTTTGGTGTCGGACGGAATTGATAACTTTAACCCCCTGTGTAGTTTATGTCGTTCAAAATAGTAAATGAAGAAAGGTCTTCTCATCTCGGGCTATATGAGCTACCTATATTGCCACAAAAAAGAAATATCTAAATTAACCCATTTTGTTCTGAGGAAGTTAAATTGAGTTTTGGTGTCGGACATAGATAAAAATGGAAAATATGCATTATCTTCATTCAACACCATATTCTATCTAAAATACAACGAGAAAACTTTGACTAACCCAGGATTCTTATACTTGGGGAAGATGTCTTCAATCTATCAAACAGCCAGTGTTCAATCTTTAACCCCCCATGTTTTATACCTCTTCCAAAAAATCATGTTTTGGTGTCGGACGGAAATGGTTTTGGTGTCGGACGGAGAAAAATTTGGGCCGGTTCCCGAATTTCATTTTTATGCCTATCATTTGATTGGTCCATCTATATAAATAATATTACTGCAATTTCTTCAT